TATTTATATGATTATAACATAACAAGGAGAATTGATTCTTGTTTTACAACTGTCTTTCGACGTTTCACAAAGGACAAGGAAAAAACGCGAGCAATCGACTAGAGAATCTGTAAAATTACTTCAATCTTCAAGTATTTATACAAGAAAAATTAAGTAAAAACACGTGCGGATTTCAGTTTTCTTGTTGTTACACTTGAATGAAAACACATTCAAATTCAAGTGTTTAAATAGAAAATTCAAGTAGCTCTTGTCGTCCTTCTTCACGAGATTTCGTCAAGTAAAAACGCGCGATTTTCCAAGTGAAAACAAGAGGACATTTATAAGTGTGTATTGCTAATCGGCCATTTCATGGTGCAGCAAGGACTTAACACCTCAATATGACTTTTCAACAAACCTGAATATATTTAGGAATAACGGTTCTAGTCGCTAAAATGAATGAGCGACATCCGGGAAATCATATTTTGGATGTGAATATAGGTCTTGGTAGATCCCTTAAATGTATATCATTGTCTTGCATCATACACATCGAAAATAATTTTCTACGTGATTGAGAATATCTTACGGATATGGCGTACAGACAGCTTGTCAAAGAAATCAGAAACTCAATTGACTGTAAGTAAATTGTGTAATTTAGGTTTAAAAATCACACTAGTTCAAAATTTATCGTCTGTTCGATGACGCTTGTTTTCTATTGGCCATGTTTATGAGAGAATGATTGAAAATTTGATTAATAGTTCTGATTCTTGTGTATAGAACTTAAAAATTAATTTCAATCATGACGTTAATAATGATTGAGCCTAATTCAAAAAAAAAGAAAATCAGTTTTACTGTGTATTTCGCTATTATCAAAATGACTGGAACACACATTAGATATTGCAAACATCATGAATATAGCTGCTCATGGGTATTTGAACGAAGGAAAGTGCATAACATTCTGATGCCTAATTGTGCATCTTTTGATTTCTTGAAAACTATTTAAAATTGTTTTGAAAATCTGTTTGTTTTATCATTAGTAAATTTGTTTAACTAATCTAGCCTAAAAAGGTTGATGAAATTTTGCCAATCTTTAGGCAAAAAAGTACAGACTGTTAAAATAATTGTTGTGATTAAGCAAAATTGAATTTTTGTTATGGTTCAATAAATCTGTATCATAGTTTTCGAGATTGGTAAAATTCTCGTTCATTTAGTCTCAGTGTAACCATGTCAAATGTTTCAAATTTTATGTCTTTCGGCAAAAAGTAAATTTTATGTCTTTCGGCAAGAATAGGATTTTAGAAAAGATACAAGGAACGCAAGTAAACAGAAAACTACTGATGTTTTTTGAAAAAATCTGAACGTTCGAATTTCAAAGAAAAAATTATATGGCTTTGACGATCTTTGAATTTCAAAGCATCTAATGATTTTTTAAAAATAACATGAACCCAACTTGTCGCACAGAGGCGAAGCTGCGCTTCGCAAACACAAGCGAAGAAAATGTAAAGAAAAAGATCTCTGAACAGGCAAAACAAAATGAAATCAGGAAAAATGAGAAGATGAAAAATACATCTGGGGAGCACTATTTGCTGAGATGACGAGTCAAACGTTCTCACAACTGCTCCACAGCCACTACTAAATTTACTTACACTAGCCGCGAATAAAGCAGCTGCAGTTTTTCATCAAATTGTCAATGCTATGTATCAAAATTTCAACCAAAACAAACTATTTCAACGTTCCGGAGTTGAATGTCCCACCTGTTGATTAGGAGAGGAGTATCACCACCTCGCATTTGCGCCAAGGTCGCGCTTGGAGGTAAACTAGTGCCCTAGCTTATGCTGGATGTACCTAATTTAATATTTTAATCTTTGTATGTACTGATACCGAAATGCGTAAAACCCTAGTGATTTCCCTCTTAAGTAGGGGACTAGTCGTTTATTTAAAGGAGAAAACTACTATTCGCTCTTTCAACTGAATATTTTTGGTGTTCGAAATAAGTGAAAGAAAATTCCAAGAAACGATCAAACATTGGAAAATTTGACTTTTCCTAAATGCGTTTACTTTTCTCTAAAAAAAAGCATGGGAATAGCATCTTTTGCAGGGAAGATTTTCACACCCTAATTTTAGATTGAACCCCTAATAACAGATTTAGCTATTAATTTTCGAGAAAAAAGTTCAAAATTTGTACAGAAAAAAACGGTTAAAATGGATTTTGGCGATAACCTTATCGGCTTTTCTGAAAACATAGAGTGAAACACATGAACCGGGGAAACCTAAGCACCATGTTAGTTTGATTGAAGTGGCATCCTCAGATTCAGCGGGTTAGTATTAAGAAAAAAGATTAAGTTTTCGAAAACATTTTCTAAAGCCATATTTTTTCAAAAGACAGCGCATAGCCGCCTACACAGGGAAAGTTCGCAGAAGATTTTTCTTTTAGTTCAAGCCTTAATCTCCGGTTTGGCATGGAGGTTTTTGAGAAAAGTTACAAAATTCTAAAAAAAAACAACAACAAAAATGTCAAAAAATGGGCTTGTTTGAGGCCATAACTTTTTCTCTCGAATTTAGGGAATAGACGACTAAGAAGGGTTATCCTCATAATTGACTGAATACAACTGCACTTTCCACTTTAAAAAATGAAACAAAATTAGCAAACTCATAAATGGGATACATAATCAAGAGTAATTAAATTCAAAATGTCAAACTCTTTTTTCTTAAAGTGATTGTAATTTCATAAAGAAACCTTAAGCAAAAATATTATGATGAGAAGCCACATTTGCAACTGATGGTAGTAACTTGACATCAACCCTCCGAAGGGTCGACAACTTCAAAATTTGAAGCAGTTATTTCAAAATTAACGCTTTTTAGAAATTTTGAAAAAAGATTTTTAAAAATGTCATATCTAAGCACGCAAAAGGCATTGAGCAGTCACAACTGGAGTCCAGGCAAAAATCCAGAGAGTACCTCGAGAGCACCTCGCCATAGTGTTGAGCATTTTGAACTTGGAAAATATTTCATAAACCAAAGTTTAAAAAAATTCAAAAGCATAAAAAACGGCATACATCAAAAACTAAGATGACTTGAGCAATCAAACTTGGAGGTAAGATCTGCAATCTCTGAGTCTGAGAGTACACAGAGAACACCCCACTGTAGAGTTGAGAATTTCGAAAAGTTTTATTTTTTAATCAAGTAATTTTTGTATTTTGTTGATTAGAAAAAACGTCTTATCCAAAAGCATTTGAGCAGTCACCGTTGGAGGCGAGATTTAAAATCTCAACAGCACCTGACTAAAGGGTTGGCAATTTAAAATTGTGTGGAATTTTTTTCATCTAAATTTTCAGAAAAAAAATCATAAAATATCACATATCGGAACAAAAAAAAATTGAGCAGTCATAAGAAAGCAAAACAAGAGGCGCCTGAAATTACCCCAAGAGCACTTCGCACAAAAAAATTAAGTTTTTATATTTTTTTTTGAAAAAACGTTTGAAAAAACCTAAAAAAACGTCATATCTCGGGAACTTACTCAAAATGAGCACTCATATTTTGAGGCAAGACTTGGAGCCTCTGAAAATACCCTGAAAACACCCAGGTACAGGGTTGAGAATATCAACTTTTGTCAAGTTTAAGCAAATTTCGAAAAGTTTTTTGAAAAAAAAAACTAAAAAAGTCAATCTCGAAAACTAAAACGATTTGAGCAGTCACATTTGGAGACTAAATCTGCACAGCCTGAAAAAATGCTGACAGCATGTCACATCAAAGAATTGAGAAGTTTTATAAACAAGTCCGTTAAAAAGTGTTGAAAAAAATTTTACAAACAAGTCCTTCAAAAATTGTTGAAAAAAATCAATGAAAGGAAACGCGATATCTCGCAAACTAAAAAAACTTGTGCAGTCACATTTTGAGACAAAATTTGCAAACCTTGAGATTACCTTGACCCCAACTACAAGATTGAAATATTCAATTTTCGTGGAATTTACCATCTCGTATTAAGAAATCTTTCGAAAAAAATCGCAAGAATCTTCTTACCTCGTAAACTAAACAGATTTCGGCATCCATATTTAGAGACCGAATTTGCAACCTCTCGGACAGCCTGCCCCTTTCGGGCTGCTAAATTCAAACTTGACAAAAAAATTCAAGTAGGCAAAACAAAAAAAAATCGCTATCGTTGCAATATACGATATAGTTTAAACGTGCAAAAAAACAATACGTTGAGAAAGCTTAAAGAGGGTGAGATAGTGACGCCCGAATTTTAATATATAATAATAGATAAGATCCTTGTAGTTTTCCTGAAAAAAAAGAGTAAAAAATCATTACGACCTATATTGTAGTCTGAACTAAGTTCATCGACTCTTAAAATCTCAGTACCCTCTTTAATCAGACCATTATCAATATCGGATAGGATTGTTTGGACCTATAGCAATTTACATGAGATCTCGGTTTTTTAGACTTCCACGCTAATGAAGAAATAACATACTGTATTTCAGAGGAGAATCAGTTGAGACTTAGAGAAGCGGATTACGATTGAAATTTTTGAGTCAACAATAGTCTCGACTAAGAGTTGGCTGTACAAGGAACAAATCCAAACAAATAACGTTTCAAATAGACAGAAATCTAAAACCAAAAAGCAAGAACTTTCAGAAAAATTTGTCAAGTAAACAAGAGAAAAAACCGGCTTAAATTGTGAACGCGTGATCCGCATTTGAAAAACGTGATTATTCTCGAACTTAGATAAAACTTTAATGTTATAGAATCTCGACTGATTTTTATACAGTTTAAAAAATAACTTCCACACTGAAAATTAACTAATTTATACATACTAACCAATCTATCAAATTGAATAAATTATCGGGTCAGATCATCCGTAAGGTGTTATCATCATTTCAAATCATCGATCATTACTAACTCTCAAAAATCTTAAGATTAAATAGCACATTAAAAACGAAGTGAGTCAATCTGAATGAATTATATTTTCAACTTCCGATCTCACTTTTAATTTAATTCATGGTCAGATTTGTTATAATAAGAACATCTTACAACTGACGAGACCCTTCTAATAAACTAAATGGTGCAAGGTAAATAAGACGAAAAGACATTAAGACGACATGACATTAAGACGACAATTGAGAGTTGCGACAAGTAAATTGAACTGTTCGAACTTGAGCGAATTATATTTATCAGAAATATAATTGGAGAATTTGCGTGTAGCGTCGTCTTTAAGTCCCACTAAAAGCGGTTGTCGCCTTAACAGCTGTCGTCTTAATTGGAGGACAGCAAACTGAATGTATGGTATCATGAGCAGGCTGAACAGAATGAGGAGGAGCCCGAAGTGTTGACTGGTCTTGAGGGGTCTATCTTGTTGCTGCCACCAATCCTCCCCCCGTCAGTGGCGTCTCCTGCAGTTCCATTCTGTGCATTCAGTTGCACTGTTTCCTTCAGTTGTTTCGCTATACCTGTTAATCACAAGCTACTAACTTCACTTCTATTTTGAACTCACATTTAAATATTAATAAGAACTGTCGTTTATTTGGTGGCTTTAACTGCGAATCTCAAGCGAATATATCAAAAGCTAAGATGACTGTCTAACAATAGTCTGTTTTGTATTATTTCTCCACATTCCAGACCGACGTGGCTTGTTGAGCGAAACCCTTCGTTGTTACACAAGAAACACTCAGACTAAGGCTCGTCCTCAGAATAGAGGGATCGATTAACTTATATCAAAAAATTTGAATTAAACGCTGCCTAAAAGATAACTCTTTTTATTTTATTCTCAAATGCAAATATGAACAAAAAATCTCTCCCCCCCCCCAAAAAAAAAATCTTTATTTGGTTATTTTTAACCGCAAGTTTGAAACCGGAGAAAAACTTTTTCCATGCTTTAATTAGCATTAGCTCAAAAATAGCATTAGTTGAAAAATCACTCCCCTCGAATTTTTCCAAAAGGACGACCAATTAGCTTTGTTTACTTGATTTGATATGAAAGGCAGGAAATAATTAGGCCCTTTGTACCCATGAATAGTTGGTGTATATTGGTGCCATCTTTTGCACTTGTTTCGAGGAATTGGCTGAATTGGAATGCCCTGTGGTAGTCTTCAGCCTCAGTCGAGGACACTTCTTTCTGCTGCTCTCCACTGTCGCACTTGTTGCCTACAAAAAAAAACAACCGCTTCTAACTTATTAATACCATTGATCACAAGGGTTATGACAAACATGCGAGGGCTCTTTTCTTTCCCCCCACCTCGTACAAGCTTCGTTGTTTTTGTAACGAGTGATTTACGATTCAAGGTTAAGTATGTAGACTAAATATGTTTGCCATGACCTAATTAGCCCGCATGTCAATTTTCATAAAAATCGGACAATGTTATCAAATATTTAACTGCAAAAATTCGCAGGTGAGGGAGCCCATACGAGATGTTTATCTCTTTACTAAAAACCTCAAATGTGCATCTTACCTAAAAATTTCACTCAATGGTTTTTTTCTGCTTCTGTACAGGGTAACGTTGCCTCAAACAACGAGTACTAATTTTCTTCGTTTGGTTTTTTCACACTGAGACTCAGGTGAAAATGGTCCGGCGCGGCTAATGAGACGGCAATATTAGGAGACAAGATTTATTAGCTTTCTGGAGATGTACAGAAATTTACTCTCATTGGTATACCAGAAGTTTTACTTGATAATGAATTAGTCGGAAGGGAACCTATGTCGTCTTCATTCTCTTCAGAAGAAGATTGATACGTTCCGATGGACTTTTTAGCCAATATTTGTTGTTTTCTCCTCCCACCAATTGCTGGTTTGATCAACGGTTTGCTTGATTACCTCTTCTGGAATTGATTTCAGCCAAATACTAGTTCTGGTCTGTCTATAAGGGTGACTAGTCGGCCTATCTCGAGGCCTGAAATCTAATTCTCAAACATTCATTAGATCTTCTGCTCGTGGTTCGAAGTTAAGACAACATTATCCAGACCAGAAAAATTGCCAAAAAATTCATACGGCAGGAGTTCTCTGCAAAGAAGCGAGCAACTCGTATCTTGTCCTTCTCCTAGTCGATAAAAAATTTTCATCAAACTTACAAAAAAAGAAAGCATCAAATATGTAAGATTGAAAAAGAAAAACAGGTTAACACAGAAAAAGATACTTTCATCAAGCAGAACGTATCTAAAAATCGCTTAAGGTAAAAATTTGAATTTGTGCTTTATTCGAAGATTTAGAGTGACCATAACTCCAATTGACAGGAGATTGCAGTTAAAAGCGAAACTAACAGCTGACAAAAAATCTGACTCACCTATGAGTACTCGGAGTACATTGTCGCCCGAGTACCTGTCCACATCTTCCAGCCACTGTTGCAGAGATAGAAAGGTGTCTCTTCTGGTGACGTCATACACCACTATGACACAATTGGCACACCGGTAGTAGCTCTGGGTGATGGTTCGAAACCGCTCCTGCCCAGCTGTGTCCCAGATCTGCAGCTGAACACAAACACACACTTGACAAAATATAGTCAATGACAAATTGTTGGTGACATCGTTAACATGAAAGTGGCACTTTTCTTGCCTTATAATTGTACTTACACACCCCTCCCCCCACGCAGTTCAACACACTTTGAAATTCGAGTTAATTACAAATCGAATCACGGCTCGAAGGGCATCAGCAGGGCATATTACTCACACGCTTGCAATACCAGCATTTTTGAGGGGAAAGTTTACAAGCGAGGGCGAAGTCCTTACATCCAAAGTTCGAGACCAGATATGACCACTTTTGTTCATGAAGTATATTTTCTCGCTTGTTTTACGAAAAGAGCGACATGTTATAACGAGACAGTTTTAAATAGCTTCGAGATAGCTAAGCTGGCACCTTTTTCTGTATGCTGATCTTCAACGCACAAAACGTTTATCATCCAGCTCAACTATCTGGGAGCTATGGAAAACAGAATTTTTACTTGATAATGAATTAACCGAAAGGAAACATATATCATGCAAAATCATCCAAACCAAAAAAAGCGAGATAAATATTTGGACCGATATCTACCTTGACTTTTTTGTCGTCTATGGCCACAGTCTTCATGGTGAAGTCCACTCCTATCGTGGACGCATATCTCTCAATGAAGGTGTTGCTCTTGAACTGCTGCACCACACACGTCTTTCCCACGCCTAAGATGATTCATAGTTAATGTGGAACTTTTGACAAATCGGTGATCGGTCAAAAGAACAGCAGTTTTTGGGTTGATTAGAGTTTTTAAAACGATTTTTAACTGCAGCAAACATTGAAATAGTGATTTCCGACGTCATAATGATTAACTTCAGTTTAATTAAATTCGCGAAGGTTCGTTAATTAAACAGGATATTGCCAACAATTTGGCATTAAATACACAGACGCAAAGCGGAGCTTCACATCACTAAAAAAGTAAAAAGAATTCGAACAAACCACAACTAAAAAGCTTCAAAATGTTGTCTGTAATGATAATCTACTTAAGGAAAACGCGTCCAGAAACAAATTCGAAGGCGTTTAACGAAAATTCAAAAACGAATCTCGAGTGAAAAAATGCCATGAAAAACTTTGAACTATAAATTCTATTCTGAGATTTTTAACGTTTTGTGCGATCCGAGAAAAGCATACAAACTACGGTTCCCTCGAACGACCAAAAATTAGGTTAGCTAGCCGATAAAAAATAAGCCGAAATCATTTAGGCCAAAAATTCGAAAAAAAGGCCAAAACAGCAAAAAAAAAATTAAAAGAAAACATACGAAGTCAAGGTTAGTAGAATTACAAATTACAGGAGTATTGATAGTTTTTATTTTGTCAATTATTTTAGTCGACAAACAACTGAGGTTTTGGGTTAAGTCCACTTTTGAAATTACTCATTTTATCCCGCATCATTTAAACAACTTCAAAAAAGATCGTTGTTTCTCTATTAAAATAATTGAATAATTGACAGGAGTAAAAAATTATTGATAAATTGGAATGTTCCCAAGGACTTAATTTTTCAAAAAATTAAATAGTCGCCGCTTCTGCAGGAAAATCTCGTAGCCGGTTATTTTGATAGAACTTTTCAGTTTATATTTGTGGGTAGTTTTTAAAAAGTCAAAAAGTTTCCAAAAAACCGTCAACAAATCAAATAATTGAATTTTCCGAGAATAATAGCTTTTTGTGTATAAAGACTTGAGCGCAGCCACCTATGCAGTAGAGACTCACGCAGCCTGTTATTTCGATTGAACGAAAGAACTCAGATTTGAGAGAAGAGTTTTCAAGAAAACTCAAAGTTTCAAAAAGCAGTCGAAAAACCAAAATTTTGACGTTTCCGAGCCATAACTTTTTTTTAAAAAACAATTGGGCTTAAGCAAAAGAAATTCGCTTTGGACGTTCAGATGGTAACAACTTTGTGTTTGAAACCATTTGGACGAAGTCCTTTATGAAAAAGAGCTTCCCACACACTGTTCTTTGAAATGAACCCAAAATCTCAGATTTGGAAGAAAAGCTTTCGAAAAAAAAAACGGTAAGAAATCAGAAATTTCCTTTTCGCGAGGGAGATAAATTTTGATTTTTTAAAACTGGGAATATACTTTAACGTAGCAGAGCTTTCAAACCACCCGTTATCTCTATTGAACCCATAATCTCAGATTTGGGAGGGAAGTGTTTAAAAAATGAAAAAAAAAAATACATATTAGATAAATATTCCCCATAGACTACAAGGCTGCAGACAGTGTTGTAGAGTAACGAGACTGAGGGATTATCCGGTCACACAGGGAAGTAGGCTTTCTTTCAACTGACACCCCTTTTTTGAAACTCACCAGAATAACTTTTGAGATAAACTAAAATTTTTGCAAAAACGAAAACATTTTCCAGAGAGCCTCAAAAACAATAATAGACAAAACCGGAATCCCATACTTTTCCATAATACCTGTTTTCATCAAACAGGAATTCTAGACAACATACCAAGCAAGACATTTGAATAACAATTTAGCGGCGGGAAAAAAAACGAAGCAGAAACAAAGCCGGCAATCTGTGAACAGACACCATGTGAGCCGAGGCAAAAAAATTTTATACAAATTTTGGAAAGTTTCATGTCCTCCTGAAACTGCAATGAACATCATTTGCAAATAAGTTGATACTTCCTTACATCACCAGAAAGTGCCTTGATGCGGCACCTAACCAGACAAAACTTGAGCAGACAATTCAATTTTTACCCAAAATGTTTAATTATATACATACTGAAAAAATAAGGTCCTACCGGGACTCAAGCCCCATAACCTTGAGTTCAAAAGCAACCACGTTACCTCCAGGCCGAGTGGGAAGTAACCTGGAAGTTTATAAGGTTCAATAGTAACGCAAGTTCATTTTTTTGTAAGAAAAGTTGTTTTAGGGGGAAAAGGCTAGTTTCCGATTACAAGACACCTACTCTCGAAAATTAACTTTTCTTTCAAAACCACAAGTCTTTGTATTTTGTTGTGATTTTTTTCGACTATAACTATAAATTTGAATCTATAGCTGACTGACTTCACATTAACCGACAGCGAATTCAAACTGAACCCGAAATTTTAAAACTGCAAGCCGACACTACACGCAATTCTCCAAATTGTATTTCCGAGAATCAGGGATGCTCAAAAAGTAAGGGATACTCGAAAATCAGAAAAGTATCGAGTATGAAGAACCGAATATCAATCTGTTTCCAATTTCACAGACTCTAATTCAATTATTGTTTTCTATTTCCTTAACTTACATTTCATCTCCTTGGTTCTTCCCACGAGAAAAAGATGACCGGAAAATAAGACAACAGCCGTTAAGACAACTACCGTTTTTGGTGGGACTGTAAGACGACGCTACACGCAATTCTCCAAATGGTATTTCTGAGAAATTTAAACCGCATGAATTCGAGCTGCTCATTTTACATGTAATAACGCTTTTTTGCCATCTAAATGTCTTGTCGTCTTAATGGCCTGTCGTCTTAATTACCTTCTACCCGAGAAAACAAATCAAGCATTGAAATTGAAAATTTTCAATCAAAACATGATCGTATTTTTTCAAGAATACTGATAGAGAAAACGACAAAGCGTGAAGAAAATATTCGTTCAATTCATCGGTTGGAAACTGAAAGTTAGAATTTCTCTGCCTCGTGACTGCGACGTGACAAACAAGAAGGAACAAAATGTAAATGTTTTTTTGTTGACTTTATTACGTTTTTCGCTTTGAAAAAAAAAACTTAAAAAAGAGCAAAATATAGAATTTTAACTTAACTTGCCCTAAAAAACAAAAACGATTTTCCAGACACATAGAGGGGAGTTTGCGATGAACATCCTGTCAAATTCTAAGATTCCCGGATAACATCCTGGTATTCGAAGCAAGAACTTCGTGAATGTCAGAAAATACAGATGGAAAATGCGCGATAGTGTTTCTATAGGCATTTATAAGACAAAATCGAAGAATTTTGATTTACTGTTTTAAATTTTTTTGGCCGCCAAAAAACAAAAAAAAACGTACTTTTTATGACAAAAATGTACTTTCTTCCCCTCCGTGATGATAACTTAACCAAACACAATTTATGAAATAATAACTGAATGATCATTATAATTAAAATAAATTGTTTCGAATCTAATCTAATGGTATTTTATGAAAGAAAAACAAGCAAAGTTATTGGCTGACAATAGATTGAGCACGCTATTAGACTTGAAGTCTGTTTTCAGATGTAATGAGTCTCCTACCTGTGTCTCCTATGAGGACAACTTTGAACAGGTAGTCATACTCCTCATCATTGTCATCCATGTCCATCTAAAACACACATCTTCCTACATCACATATCCACAATTCAATTCAACTCCCTACATTTTACCCGCAACGTGAACCATTAAAAACTATTAAGTGATCTCGCTATGTCAAAAACATGAAGGAATTAACTTCTATTAAGGTTTTGTTGATGATTTCTGACGACTTACAAAAACAGAAAAGACAATAAATTAAGCAACCAGGTGGGGAGATAATTTCAGGTCAGCTGGTCTCGTCACTGTAATACTTATGAAGTTCAAAATATAGTTAAATTGTTTTATATAAAAAACGTGATTTATTATGAGCTTTAGTAAACTCATTCTTCTTCCCATAAAAACAGTAGGAATTTTCTGTCTCTTTTATAATTTCTGAAGTCGCAGTATCAAAATGCAAGCTGCTGTAGATTCCATCAACGCTCAGGCGAGGTTTATATCAGGTGCTTTTAAAAGCTCACAGTTGCAGAGATGCAGAAAAACTCACATAATGCAATAGTACTTGAGTGTATCGCACATCCGGTGCTTCAAACAGATTAGTGAACATGAAAGAGGCTTATAAATAAAACGTATAAAGAAAACAGCGAAATGAATGCAACCAAAAAACAGACGCGCGAATCCAACAACGCTTTTGATTACATAATTTGCACGATGAAAACAATTTTGACGTGAAGGTTTTTAAAACTAAAATGGTCAAATCTCCGCAGTTACTGGGTTTCAGATATTCGTAAACAAAAATACACTTAAATGGCCGACATCATACAACTGCACTTTCCATATTTAAAAAAATTGAACCAATTCCAATTGCAAAATCATCAAATTCATAAATAGGATTCAAAATCCAGCGTAATTGTTTTAAAATACGAAACCTCCAAACGTTGTGAAATTTTTCAAATGTAAAATTTCTAAAAATTATATCAATGTAGAATCTCGGAACAAGAAAAAATACTTGAGCAGTCATATTTGGATGCAAGCATTCTAAAGCCTGACAGCATTTCACACTTTAGAGTTGGGAAATTCAACTTTTGTTAAGTTTGCAAATGAGTTAGTTGAAAATTTTTGCAGAATCCTATAAACTGTCATAGCTCAAAAATTTAAAATAATTAGGTAGTCAAACTTTGAGGCAAAATTTGCAACCGCAGAGAGTACCCTGACAGCACTCAATTACAGGTTTGACAAGCTCAACTTTTGTCAAGTTTTGATATATAATTTCTTGAAATTTTTTCTATCATAAAAACGTCATATCTCCGAAACTTGAAAAAATTGAGCAGTCATAATTAAATGCACCGTCTGCAACGCCTGAACGTACCCTGACAGCATGTGATTTCATGGAAATAAGAACTTCATTTTTTGTCAAATTTAGTCCTTTGAAAATGTTTGAGAAAATTCATATAAAAAAGTCATATCTCGCAAACTAAATGGATTTGAGCCGTCAAATTTTGGGGCAAGATTTGCGATCCCTGCCTACAGGGTTGCGAGCTTCAATTTCAGAGTACTTTTTTTTTTAATTTGAGTTTTACGAAAACTTTCTAAAAAATCACAAGAAACTTAGTTGCCCTCGGTATTTCATATATCGGTACAAGTGTGATAGAAGAGTCCCGGTAAAAACCATGTGTGAGAGAGGGGTCCAAAATTTCTTTAATATTAGGTAAATACCGCAACGAACTAACTCAAAATGGGCCGGTCGGTCGTTTTCAACCTTTTTTTCAAACGTAATTAATCTGCCTCATTCGAGAAATTTTATTCGATACTTAAATTGAAATCATCAAAGCACGAAAGTGAACAATTTCACCTCACTCTATTTACATTAGGGGCCCATTTAGTTTCTTGGAAGCTTCGAGTGTTTGGGAAACCATGTTTCAAAACAAAAATCTGATTCTTCAGCAAACATGATTTTTTCTCAAAGAGGAAAGAATAGGAAGCGGGCCCCGAAAGAAAGAAGAAAAAACTAACCCCTGGGCTCGATGTGTCCAGCTTCATGGCAACCTAATACAATTAATCTGATAAGCAGTTCAAACAAATTTCACTGAAGGCTACTATCCGAAAAGATAACAAGGGTTCCTGGTTTATTTAATAACTCAGACTAGCGATAAGCGATCGTTCCAAAAAAATTTCTAAGAAACTAAATTGAAATGTTCATAATTATTTTTATTTCAGCTTTGCTTTACAGTTCTATCGGCATAGTAAAATGGCAGCAAGACTTCAAATGGCTGTTTTTGAATTAAGAAACAAACAATTGAATTAAGTAACATCTGACATTTAAATCAATTCCAAAGCATTAAATTGACAACAATTCACAAGTTGAACTAGTTCCAAGTTCAAATAAATTGACGAAAACTCATAATTAGAAATAAAAATGACTACAATGTGATGTTGTAATTATATTCGGTAAGTTGCCTCGTCATTAAAACTGACGACAATGAAATTCAAAAAAGAGCCTATTCGCGGTCAAATGCAAAAAAAGACCTAGGCGAAGTAACCTGTTTTAACTTCAAACAAGAATAAAATTACCAAGTTGATCAGCTGTGTGAAATTACATCACTACTAGTTGGGTTTTAGTAATTAAAAATGGAGAAGAGAGTGAAAAATACAAATGAAGAAAGAGGGAAACGCCAAGTATACGCTGTTGCCTGAAGTGACGGCTATTCTCAAAACAGAAAGCCAGAATGGCAGAAAACGTTCTACAACCACTCCAAACCTTAAAAATCTTTAGCTCAGTCTGAATTTTCATGAGTTGAAAATAGATAGTTGGGTTTAGAAAATATTTTTGCTTGCGCAGAAAAAGAAAAACCCTGAAGTTTCGGAACAGAAACAATGTAATTGATAATTTCTGTGAACTTTCATTAAAAATTGTTTCCCTTCGAGGGACCCAACTAATATTTTTAAATTATTTCGCACTTTTTCATACTTAAAAAATAACTTTAACTAAAAAATCATTATCAAACTGGATGTGGTTCCTAGGCAAGGCAAGAAAAGCGGTTCTCTGTAAACTCCAGAAAAGCTCGTATATTGGTATTTTCCCTTGAGAACAAATGGTCTGAATGAATAATTTCTGCTATTCGTTCCTTCTGCCACGAGCAACTCCATCCATTTCAGTTACTTTTCAAACTAATCAGCCTATACCTTCAGTGGTAATACATGCAGTTTTGTCGTGCTATTTTGGTCAGAGATTTTATGGCAGTAGAAAGGGGAAAACTGCCTCCTTATAACAGTTCCTCGCAGTTCAAAGGCATGAACAAGTAGAAATAGCCGCGTGGCGAATCGAGAGAAAAATCGATCGAAAAAGGTTATGTCTATTTCATCAGTAAAATTACACAAACTTAGCTTTTAACTGATATTATGATGTATCTTTGACGCAACTCGTTTTCCCATCAATCTTATCTTCTTTAAAAATGCTAAATTATTTAAAAATAGAGTAATCACTAGCTAGCATCACTAAATCGAGTTCATTTTGACTTAAATTCCCGTTGAATCGCGTCTACTTTTTGTCTGATGCTGACCATGTATACTAAACATGTTTTTACTCATCCCAACTCAAAAACAAGTATTTCAAATTGACAGACGTTGAAAAGACAAAATCGTCCATTTTAATTGATGCCGCCTGTTAAACAAACAAAAATTCACCAAACGAGGCGTCCAGCAGCGTGCCGAGGGGGGCGACCGCCAACCACTCCTCCCACTCAATTCTGGTAGCCAAATTTTAGCCAAAAAATGGATTTCTCAAAATAGTACAAAGGGGGGGACCGACCGAAGGCGCTTTAAGAACATTTTTGAGGATGGTCAGCCTAAACTGGATGTCTTAAAAGTATACCAAAGGGCATAAATTTGCTATAACTTTGGTATAACTTTTTGACATCCAGTTTAGGCTGACCAACCTGAAAAGATTTCTAAAATCGCCTTCGGTCGGTCCCCCCTTTGTACTATCATTTTTGGTGACGGACCCGTAAAATTCTAAAAGCTTCTTTGGCGCCAATGAATACTAATTTTGAGGGGGGAGCTAATTTCAATGTTTTGGTCAAAACTTTTCAAAAAAATGCCTTAAACGCCAAAACATGGCCAAACCCTTTTTTTTGCAGAAACATGGTCTTTTTAGTCCTTTCTGAGAGCTCGGAAAATCAATTTGGTCGACCTAAAAAAGCCGACACAATTTTTAAATTTTTTTTGAAACCCCCCCCCCCTCGAAAAAATTCTAGATCCGCCCCTGAACAAAATCTTCAGAATTTTTCGAAAAACCGCCTCCTTCTTCCAGAAAATTATTTCTGCGCATGCCCTTGGCGGCGTCAAAAATCTTTTTAAACAAGCAATTAACTCACAAAATTGTCAAACTTTCCTCTCGGTTTCGCTCCAAAACCACATGCATAATTTTCAAATATGATCAATTTTTGGCACTGCTGAACACATTTTCAATTTCGGCACTGTTGTACTTCGACACTGTTGAACGCGCTCCTAGTCATTAGCACCTTTTTAGAAAAATTCATTTATTCTATCCTTTATAAATAAAGACTTATGAAAAAAATGCCAATTTTTTAAATGCTTTTATTTGCTATTTTTACTTGCACAAACTTCCTTTCTAAATATCAGTCTCTCCTAATTAGTAGCGCATTTGCAATAAATTGAAGTTCTGTAGATTTCTGTCAAGAAGCTTTCTGTCAACTGCATCAGACATAATCGTAAAATGCTTCAGACACGCAACTGAATATGAACTAATAACTTCCGTTTTGGCCCTGCCCATGTCTCCCTTGTTATGCTAATAAGATGCAAATGCGGCCAGGAAGGCTCTAGCTAAGGAGACTGCTGCATTACTTACAGACTCCTTCAAAAGGACATCTTCGGTCCAAAAATATTTAAATTCGGCGTCAGAGGTAAGGTATTGAGTAGACATTGAAGCCTCAATATTGCTTAAATGCATGGTTTCAAAGTGGCAGTAACTAAAACATCTTCAGAAAAAGAACCTTTGAGAAAAAGGCTTAAAACAATCAGGCGAAGCGGTGATTCGCATCACTTACAAAATAAAATATACCAGGATTATCTCAAACAGAAAAATAATCACAAGAGGATGTACACAAAAACTTTTCCAAATCATACAATTATAAAAGTTCCCACCTAATAATTAAGAACTAACCAGCATAAATTATCACTTTGCAAGAAATATTATACGGCGATCAAAATAATGCCAGAAAAAACCTACCCCACACAGGCGTTTTATGGGTAAAAATGAATCGTTGTCAGTCTACATGAAAATCAATAATCGTTAAAAGCGATCGATAAACTATTGTTTTTCTCAGCAATACTAACTCTTTTAAACAATTACAAAGTATTTTTCGAATTATTTACAAAAATTTTATTGGGTAATAAATAACCTACTTTTAATTGATTATAATCGATAATAATTCAATCAAACGCAAGAGGTGTGTCATGCCTCATTGCTCTTCTTTTCACGGTGAGGTTTACGAGCCAGTAAGTATCGATGCCAATTTCTGCCATCAAAATCCGGTCAACTTTGAAAAATGTACATCACAATAAATCATCATTATTTCATTTGGTAATCCATTCAACAACTTTCTTGATATCTACATCTTTTCTCTGTTCTTGTTCTAGATTTACAGGTAACATATCGTCTTTATAACTTATAACTAAGTAAGTTATTCCTTGGATCACTGCACTGTACAGAGCTTACTTGGAATAGTTTCATGAGTCTGAAAAAAAAATATTTTCGGTGACGCTCCTACTTCTTGTACGTTAAGACCCATTGTACTTCTGAGTGAAGAGTTGAATAGAATCTTGAAGCTGTGACTAGTTCTGGATTAATTTGATGTCCTTCACTAGCTATAACATTTCCTTTCGGCAACTCAAAATCTGATGTTGTTACATCTGGTGTTTTTGCTTTAGAATGCACTTGAATGTCTCTAGTTGGTATTAAGTATTTTAATTGTAGTTCTACTGTCTGGCTTGGATCAGTTTGATATGCTCATTTCAAGGACTGTTGATTTTTGATGAGACAAAATTTACAGGAGTTTCTGAATAGCCATATTTGGCGATTATATCATCACAATGGCATCACCATCTCCGCTTCACGATTCTCCCGCTAACGCCATGCTTGGTACTGACCATGAGTTTAAAAAAGATATCAGTTTAAAAAAGATATCATTGATGAGAAGTGACATCTTCAGATCAATTTCGTATTGCTCCTGCTGACGCAATTCCTAGAACGATCGAGACGCACTAGACTGGACAATAGAGATGAGAGATGATCCGTGGTTGTCCTCAATCAAAACATCAACAGAACACAAACGAGATGATGTGAAAAGCCAGAAGAAATAATTGCGAGATCCAGCACAGTTGAATGATAATGATACCAAAAACAAGGCACAGGGTCATTCGATGGTTGAAAAGAGCGAGCAACGGGGTTCAGAATGTTGTGTGGCAAGGAACCCATCAAATAAGTTTCGCACCACTAGCAGTACAAAAAATATATATTTATTGTGGGTTTTCCATGTGCCCATTTTTTTGAAAAACTGACAATAACAATAAAAAAAATGAGAAAAGCATTTATTTTTTGCTAGAGTTGCAATGAAAACATAGCAAACAGACAGTAAGAAGAAGTCCAGGAACGCAAGGAAACAATAAACTAAACTGACTTATTTTTGAAAACAACTTCAACTTTCAAATTTTAAAGCAAAAAATATGTAATGAAGGCTCTTTAAATTTTAAGCTGAATTTATGGTTGAACATTTTTTGACAGAAAATTAACCCAATTTGAGAAAATTGAATCAATAATTATTCTTTTTTAATTCGCTGAGAAACCTGAAAAATAAATTCCGCTTGTGAAACTAGAAGAAGATTACGTTTTTCGTGACCTTTACACTTTCGCTCTTGGATAGTGGAGTTTGCCCTCCTTTTAACAAAGAAAAATGAACTGAACTTGAAAAAAAATCTTAAGTCAAATCACGAAAAAAAAAAATTTCAGCCCTAACAAATTTTAAAATTTAAAAAATCTGATGTCTATAATCTGCATTTTGAAAATAATGAAATAAACATTGTAGAACAGAGAATAGGCTGAATTTAAAAAAAAATTCTTGAAACTGAGTCGACGAAAAAGCAGATACACAATAGTCCGAAATTATAGGTAGGTTTCTAACTCACGTCCTTTGTGGTCCCGAGCATGTGAGTTCACTTTGCGTCAAAAAAGCTCAGAACCAGCATTGAATTTGAATGAATTATATACAAAACTACCAAACGACAAATTGATTCTGCTAGACCAGTTATTACCCTAATAAAAAAATTATGTTCTGATTTGATAGCGCTTGTCAATCGCAACCGTGTGAAACTAGGAACCAAGGAACCCTCAATATCCATTGCTGTTTTGAGATTTTTGTTTGGCACAAAAATTTAAGAAAAGTCAGTTATCGTCTAATTCATGTAATTGCGAATGCCAAATTGAATTTGCATTAGAAATTCAAAATTTTATGTAAATTGAATTGAAATCATTAATACTTCAGCTACTACAATAGTCACTTCTTTGCTGACGAAGACCTTGACACGAGACTGGACTCCTGTCTCTGGTCCTCATCGCGTACTCTTGACTTCCTTCTGGACTTTCGTTCTTTCAGAGACTGGATAGAATATTGGGTGAGAGCTATTTGCTCTCCTATAGTCTCCAACTTCTTCGTTTGCTGAGATAGAATGTCTTGAAACATTTCGAAGCTTTTCGCTTCGCCCGATTCATTGGCTGGCTTGAGGGTGGGTCTTGCTGTATTTTCGCTTTTGAAGTCGCCTAGAAAGTATCACAATCAAAATGACAGCTCAAACCTCAAAACATTCTAGGTTCAAAGAGCTTATTCACTGTATATGTTCAAGTACGCTAACACCTATTACTTCCCATGTGTTTTTCTTGTTTTGGATGAATAAGCTCTGCGCTGAGGCACTTAAAAAATCATTTGAGCATCAATAAAAGAGTATTAGAAAGAAACAGAGAAGTTTGCAACCTACTTAAAAAAACGCATTGCATATGCATCAGGTGCTTTCAAAAATATGCATTTACAAGTTTTCCGCGTGTTTTAAGTGTTTGAGAATTACTTATAGGAACATATATTTGGAATGCAGCCTACCACTGTCAATTCTAGAGTCGGCAGACGTTGCTTCCATCTGGAACAAGTGCTCACTCTTGGCCGTTTTCTTCATCCTCAACAGATCAGATATCTGGCCACTCTCCCACTGGATCAACTGGGGTATCTCTCTCACATTATTCTTGTATCCCCGAGTGAAGTCACTTCCATCTGGGAGCTTCTGTTTGTAGATGGCTTTCAACCAGAACACTGAGAACGGAATGATGACGAAGGGAGGGGGAACTGCTGACCGCTCGAAGTACTCGTGCACTGAAAAACACCAAAACAGAAAAGTAGAAACTAATCATTTATCATCATCATCAGCTTCAGGAGTTTGATGTCACCACCACCATCATCATCATCATCATCCGGCTTTCAATGGTGGGATTGACATTTTTCTGATCACCGCTAAGTATTATCACATAAATCGTAATCGGCTAATTGAAAAACCTAATGCAACCATCTCTACGATTAACCATAAAACTAATCTAGCAAAATACGGCCGAGCCAAATAGTGAAAAAAACTTTAGGTCTAATCATTGCCAGAATCAGGCGAGCGAATTTGGTTTAATTGGTTTCATCTCATCCAAATGCTCCATAAACCAGGTGAAAAAAAAACATATACCAAACATGCTTTTTACACCTGGTTTATGAAGCAATTGATGAGATTAACTCGATTAAACCAAATTCGCTCATGAGCACGAAAACTTTTTTATAGTTTTCTGGTCCAGGACGAACCCATATTAAATTCAATTCAATTCAGTTTTCAAAATGAAGATCCAGAAGCAGTTAAAAATGAACGTGACATTGAATGAGTGAAACTTACCAAGGTAGTACTGTTGGATCAGCAACAATTTGTGCGCATCAATCTCCAGCTGTCTATACTTGTTCACAAACACAGCTATCAACCACGTTAACAACAATACTCCCACAATCAAAAGGTATACACACATCAGAACCAGTGCCACACTAACTTCGCCTTCGAACCCCGAGGGCAGACTCTTCTCGGATCCCGAGGATGTCGCGATTTGCAAGTCCTCGAGATAGAGATCCCCGAACAACTGCAGAACTGGTCTGAACACTATCATCCACCAGTACATGAAATCATCCAGCTCCCCAAACTGGTTCCTAATGAGCGCCAAGGAAGCCACGCCGTAGAGAATACTGAAGAGCAGCATAATTAGAGCGTAATGCATCAAGTCTGGGAGCATTTGCTGCAAAATAATCATTTTTCGTCCAACGCTTTTGCTCAAAAATGACATCTGCATGCTTTTGCATGCAAACATGCAAAAACTGAGAATGTATAGACACTGAGCCACATTGTCTTGATCGCTCCCAGGAATTAACCGACCTACAAAAGCAGCCAGAAGTAAAATGTAAGCAGACAGACTTATAATCAAAGGAATCCTGGTCCAGTTTTTTGATCCAGTTACACGAAACAGGACGACATAGCGCATTTTCTCCAGCACTTGGATGCCAGCGTAGGAAAGGATGGCTATTTCGAGAGCCATGAAATCCGAATCTTGCTCTTGACAAATCATCACTCCAAAAAGGACGACAAAGATGAGGTTGTACAGCTGGTTCAGCATGAAGATTGTTACCGGGCACCTAAAATAAAACGTCTTTCTTTTTTCACATGTCAACGGAATTGCATGTTTCATTTATATTACAAAAACCCGACTCGAATTTGTGTGATATTACATCATACGGGGTGTTTAACAATCAAGAGACAGACGAGCTTAATTTACAGTTGTCACACTTTTGAGCTCTATTAACGTAAAAAAGGCTCAAGCAAAAAAAAAGATCCACAAAATTACAGCACCAATCAAAAGCAATATTCATCCACCTGTAGAATCGTTTCGTTCTCTTCCATGCATTATGTCCGCTCTTTAGCCTCTTGGTCAGTTTGTCCTCGTGGTTGTCATCCACATCCAGCAACAGCAGTACACACAGGAAGGGAAAGACGGCACAGAGTCCTATTTTAGCCATGTGTTCTCCCGGGTGAATGAAGTGGTACCATCTTTGCTGGGTGAAATGGGTGCATGCTTCCGTCGAGAGGAACTCTCTGGAATAAAGCAACGTTTTTAAATTCTGAAGTTTACAGTATTAAGAACAGTTAGACTGTGTTTGAAAAGATCAGCTCGCTCATATCAAGAGTTTCATCTATATATGCCAAGAACATATGCTCTAAAAGGCAAAATTTTTTGACAAAACTCAAAAAAAAGGAAGCCAAAAATGAAAGCAAGGATATTCAGTAACTGTGAAAGTAGCACAGGATGTTCCTTCCACCCATAATCTTAACAATAAATACAAAATTTTTCAAGTTAAAGTCGTTTTTTTTTCGGCGTGGTGTGATAAAAGGAGCACAATTTGAAAAACAATTTTTGTAGAAAATTGATTTGAAAAACCAAAAAAAAACTTTTAAAAAAAATTTTCAATTTTTTTGGATTTTTTTTTGGGTTTTTGGTTACTAGAGAAAAACTAAGTTTTTACGTTATAAATTAGACCATTGAAGCTTGTAAGCCATGAAGACAAGCTATTGCAAGCCTCTTCCCTCACTTTAGTCTCTCGAATAACTTGGTGATAAATTTAGATAAAAAAAGAGAAAAAAAACGGAACAAAAAATATACTTTTAAAATAATTATAACAAATTAATTCACAAACGAGCCAATACTGTTTAGTTTTCACTGATTTCGCCGGATTACTAATGCGATATAATTCAAAACCCTTAATAAGGAAATCAAAAAAAAAATTTGAAAAAAAAGAGGTGCTTTGATAGCATTAAGCCAATATAATATGTTCAAAAAAATATATTAAATTTTAAAAGGGAATGTATTAAATCAATTTTTCCTAGTATAAAATTATTTTTGAACTTGTATACGAAATTTGAATCTTCAATTTTGGTCATTTTACCAATTTTTTCAGGCAACAGATTGTTATTCCTCATTATATTAAGCAATTTTGGACCTCTATTGGTTAGAGAGCATGATTTTGATTGATTTTTACAAAACAGGAACAAATAATTGTTTTTTGGAACTTTTGCTTCTATACGCAAATTTTTTCGGGGAAAATATTAAATGTAAGAAAAAAATTTGGTGTCTATGATTTAAAGATCGGAGGCAAAACTTCAATTAATCGTATAATTAAAGTTCATGTACCGTTAGGATTTTGTGTTATAAAAAAATTGTGTTATACTATCATACTTTCTCTTGAAAAATAATTCGAACAATTTTTCGCTCTAACATAAAAAATTGGTTCAAAAGATAAAAAACGGTTCCCCCATACACAAGCAAACCGTATTGTATTATTGGTTTGATATTCGATGGGTAGTATTTGAGTAAAATTGACGTTGGAACATATTGACGCACTTTTGAAACAATGCCACAATGACGCCCTAGTTTCGTTTTAATTTTTTGAATATGAAACAAATAATTTGTAATCCAGTACAACACCCAGATATTCACAGGATGGCTTCGGCTCATACATAATTCCAGCCAGATGAGTTTGAAATGAGAAGCAGTTCCATTTTTACTAAAAGTTAATAGAGTTACTTTATCTGAGTCGAGTGTTAATTTATTTTGCTCATAACCATTTAGAAACATTCGTTGAATCTTTTTGAAATATATCAAAGCACGAACTTTTACATGCCACATTTGTATCATCAGCAAAAAGAAAAACATTTGAATCAGTCGAAGAGAGATGCAGGTCATTCATGAAAATAAGAAGAAGATGGTAAAAAACGGAGCCCTGCGGTACCCTTGTATCTATGGGCAACCAGCCAAAAGTTTGATTATTGACCTGAACGCACTGATACCTATTAGACAAATAAATTTCAAGCCATTTATAACAGTTCCCACGTATTCCGCTAGCGTCGATTTTTCTGTTAGTCCCTAAGCGAAGGCGCTCGCTCAGTTAATTCCGCTAGCACATCGATTGTCTATTTTTTTTTCGCGAAATCCATACTGACCATCATAGAGCAAGTTGAATTTTTTGGCAATAATTGTACAAACGAAACTGCATAATTTTTCTATTACTTTACTACAGCTGCTTAAAAGAGATATCGGTCGGTACTTATTAATATCTAATTTTCTATCACTTTTATGGAGAGGTAAAACTGACTATAAAGCTAAAGAAATTTCAACCTGATTGTTTAAAAATTGAAATATGTCAGTGTATCAAAGTTCAGAACACAACTTTTGTGACCGTGCAGACACAAAATAGTGATGCATTGCGTTACCTTGAGCTTCCACAGCTCTGCGCGAAGCCAGCCATATCCATATCAGACCAGTCCGGATACTTGATCTTCATACAAGCGCCAGTTCTGTCCGGATCCCTTCTGTGGCAAAACTCAATCATCTCTGAAGCCTTCGCTTCGAAATGCCGCCCTGCTTTTTCTACCTCTTCGAAATTTTTCTGCAAATCCAACTTCCTTTTATGGAAGCGACTTCCAATTTGAGTCAAAACCGCTGCTGCGAAGAGACAAGTCGTGATTTTATTTGGTAAGTATATCCACAATTCTTCGGCTAATTCGTACTTTTCTGTTAAAAGACTGAAAATGAACAATTCTCGCATCGAGTTTTTAACCCTTCGTTCCTCAAGATCACCTTCGAAGTGGATTTTGACGTCCAAATTTAATTTGCTGGACACTTGTTTGAGGAAGAGCTTCAACTGATCAACGTCCTTGGAGTCCAATGGTTTATCAAACGAGAAGGGAAACTTTCCAGCCGGCAGAAAATTCATAAAAATCTTGCTCAAAATCAGACTTTCATTCGATTGGAAAACTTCCTTGTATAATTTGCAGAGCCTATCTTCATGGCCGAAATAGTCGAAATCTAGCAGATTGAAGCTAACGTAAATCCGACAAAACTGAGCATTTCCGTCCACCAAACATCTCGAGGCCTCAACCAAAGCGTCGATCTCTTGATTTGAGTCCAGATTATTGCTTACGCAGACATCTTCGCAAACAGACGCTCGGTTCCACAGATACGTTTTCTGGAGTTTTTTGAACGGATCGGATATGGATTCCAGACATCTGTTTAGAACAAAGTTCACAGCTAAGTCGGCATTTTGGGTGAGAGGAATCTTGAAAATTTGAGAAATTAACGACTCCTTGGAATTAATTTTGCTCAAAATTGAATCTTGAATTGTCTCTTGTTGATCAGGCCCCAGCAACGCATGAGACTTTACTTCTTCTATGCTGAATTCAGATCCTGTATCAGACTTCAAAGCATCAATTAACCCGCTTAAAACGTTAGTTTTAGAACCCCCTCGTTCTATAACGTAAATATTCTGGTTTGTTTCAAGTGCTTTTCCGCAAATTTTCATTGCAAATTCCGAATCATCGAAAACCAAATTCGCAACCGGGACTTCTAGTTCAAACTGTTCTAAAAGCCGAGACGTGAACGAAACGATTACGTCATCCGAATCCAGGCACGTACCATCGTCGACTAGTAGGAAATCAGTGACATTGCTGTGCAGCCAGAACCTACCATTGTCCGGTTTACTATCAATGTGATAGTTCGAGAGCACACTCTTGGATCCTGAATGATGCTGACGAACTAAGTCCTCGTTTTCCATCACAATTCCCCAGTTACATATTCCCAGAACCCTTGTGTTTTCGCCAGTTTTAGTCCAGCGTTGATCCACGCATTTTCCAAGAAGCTCCGTGAATCCAGTATGAATTGCAGAAGTTATGACCAAAACATTCCCAATTGTGAGAATATCTGACAGAACTTCAAGTATTCTTCGTTTCTGCGATGGCCCGAACTGCGTTTTGTTTCCAGCGCAGAGATTTAAAACCAGCGAGGGTCCGCTCCAATTTCTGGTCCGGTTGCGCCAACATGTCTTGAGATAGTTTGACACACTGATCGCTTCAGAGTTGTAAGCCAGACGGAGATAGAGCGACTGGTTTATGATTCCATGTCGGTACGTTAGGAGGACTCCTCGACATCTGGACTCTCTTTTGGAAGTGCATTCTTCGGAATTCCAGTTAATGTTCTGATTGGAGCTGGTTGAGTAAACACCAATGGCTTCTGAAAAACAAGAAACAGCTCAATCATTAGCTAAACAATCATTTTGCAACTCCGCAGATTCAGCAATAGTCCCTTAGCAGTGGAAAGGAGTTCACTTAGCAAACGTCAATCGAGAGTGTTCAATCTCATGGCAATGATAGTGTGAGGATAAGTTCTCGTTTGACTTAAAGCTTCAAGTCTACCATAGCCTGACCGCTTTCGGCTGCAATAGGGGTACCAATTTAAAAATCTAGACGTCAAAAAAATGGCTTTAAGTCGCAAAAAATGCTTCTATCAGCAAAATTACTGTCTCGCATGGGGCTGAACAAACAAATGGAGCAATAAAAAATGGAGAATCGGCAGACATGTCTGGTCTATTAAGGACTACTGATAGCTCATACTCGGGTCTGGGCTGCCTGAGTTTGCGTCCAAATTTGTCTCGCACTCTGAATATTATGAACGCTACTTAATCAACTTTGACCAAATATGACCAAAAAATAACCTAGCTATAATACAGTGCTGATTTAAATTATCCGGACAAAACGAACAAAACTTGAATTTTCAAACGCGTTTTTCTCAAATTGGGTTAAGATTAGACAAAAAGTGAAGAGAACAAAAGTTGCTTAGAATTTCACCAGAACTAATATGGTGCCATTTTTTCTCCGAAATTCTCAACAAAAAATTTACCACAAAAATGGGTCATTTTGGCTTTTTTCAATTAATCAAGAATTACGCTGAAACTACTTTGTTAATTGATAAGAAAATTAAATCACAGGAAGCCTCTTACGCAGCTCAACAAAGTTTAAGAAGGGTTAAATTTCCAAAAACCAGTTTAAGAGAAACTTTTTTCACTTGATAGTCATTAAATGTGATTTTTACTATATAAAAGCCAGAATTATTGCTTAAAAATCTATTTTAAACATTTTTGCGCAAATTTTGAAGATTTAACCCTTCTTAAACTTTGTTGAGCTGCGTAAGAGGCTTCCTGTGATATAATTTTCTTATCAATTAACAACGTAGTTTCAGCGTAATTCTTGATTAATTGAAAAAAGCCAAAATGACCCATTTTTGGGGTAAATTTTTTGTTGAGAATTTCGGAGAAAAAATGGCACCATATTAATTCTGGTGAAATTCTAAGCGACTTTTGTTTTCTTCACTTTTTGTCTAATCTTAACCCAATTTGAGAAAAACGCGTTTGAAAATTCAAGTTTTGTTCGTTTTGTCCGGATAATTTAAATCAGCACTGTAGTAGCTTTCCGATAACCCACATTCCTGATTTCTTTTTCGGAATGGGGCGATGTCGTTGCTTCCAAAATGAACGAAATTTCCCAAAATGAATAAAATTACCACTAATGAACAAAGTTACTCAAACTAAAAAAACTATTAAACAAAATTTAGTTCATTTTTAGTAAACAAAATTACCAAAAATGAACAAAATTAACAAAAATAAAAAGTTAATACCCAAAATAAAAAAATACCCATAATCACAAAATTGCCTAAACTGAACAAAATTACCAAAACTGATCAAAATTACCAAAACTGATCAAATTACGAAAAATGAACAAAATTCTCCAACATGAACAAAAATTACCTGTCGTGTGTTCCTTATACTCCAGTCCACAATAACAAGTAGTCTGTGTCTTTGGGATAAAATGGGAACACTGGAGCTCATAAAACACTTCGTTGCTCTGAGATTTCACCCCCACAAACGCACTATTATTGTATAAATTTGGACTTACTGTATTCATTGTTAACTTTAATTTCTTGGTCTTATGTTTACAGTAAATTGTTGATAATTTAAACGTGCACGCTTCGAGAAGCTCTAATAAATTATTCTTCGATTGACGACCATTAAAAAATCTCTTTTATTTGGTGTCTACAATAATCAACCAAATGGCTTTGGTCGACTATATTAAGAAAACTTCTGCATAACTATTCATATGCTACTTTCGCTAGCAAATGAACACCTAGGATTGCGTTAATTTGGCTGGATGGTTGATAACGCCTTTGTTAAATGAAGATCGAGTTCTTGAGGTGAAATAGAACCATCCTATGTAGACATTCGTCACTTAGATAATATCTTCTTTTCGCTGAAAACTGTTTTATTGAACAAATTAACAATTCATACTTTGTTGCTCTTAAACAGCGAATATTTAAAAAAAATAATAATATTTGATAAAAAAAAAGAAAATTGAAGCACCATTTGTAAGTATGTCATGCATAAAGCGAATAGTTTATAATACTGTTCTTCAGTTAAACTAGAGTCGATTGCAGGATAACAAATTGCTGAGATCTAATTCAAAACTGAGCCAGAGCCGCCTTGCTTCTCCAATCGTGCCTCTCCATGTAACACCCGCACAACACTCTATTTCCAGTGAAGCTATTTCTACCATGCAGTACTCTCCAGTTGTCAATAAAAACAACCAAGCCAGGGCTCAATTTTAGAGTCACTTCGTTTTCCGGACTCTGGATCAAAATCGCTGCTTTTCGCAACGCTTTGAAAAACGCTCTCTGATCTTCTAAACTCAAATGTGATTGGTCAATATCTCGATCGTAATCGTTGTATCGGAACTGCTTCAAACTAGGAAATCCCTCGCATTCTTCAGTGATCATAGGTCCACTAGCTTTAAACATAGCTTTTCCAGGATCCAAGTATCTATAGCGGATGGGAACCCGTGTCAATGTGTTGTATGACTTTTGGTCTTTTTGGCGGAGAAGCCTCGAGATGTTTAACCCGTCCACTAGTAATGTTTCTCCTCCAGAACCATCATGACTCAGACAATGGAACACCTGAATCATTTTGGCGAATGGAAATATCTGTTTTTATAAAACAAAAAAGATCCAAAAATGGCGAGTGTTCAACAAACTGCCATATCTTGAAGCCGAAATTACAACAAAAAATAACGTAAATTGCATCAGAATTACCTAACAATTGCATAACAACAGTGACAATCTGTTGTTATGTTGCATATCAATATTAATTATCGGGTGGTTAGAATGGTAATCTTACTTTCAGTTTGTTGAATCTTCGTCACCCTTTTGTTGGCCTGTCACCTCCACAAATATTAGCACTAAGCTCTAAATCCAATTATACAGAAATACTACGGAATTACAAAATGGTCCGTGAATCAAAAATTATTCGATCGATTCTTCGTTCAAAATGTTGTATTTACGCACATACGGAGAAGTAACATTCATAACTTTTAGTATTTCATAACTACAAGTGTTCAAAAACTTTATTGATGGCTACCAATTCACTGAAACTCTGTGAACGAACTTAACCAGGAGACGATCCAGTATGAAAGTGAACCGCCAGACAAATGATCTTAATTCCATTACTTCCATTCTAAAAAGGAGATCCAGTTACAGTGCAAGTTGCATAGAATGCTCTCACTACATAGATGTTGATAGTTTTGATGGGCCAAAAAGGTATCAAAACAATGATAGCCGGTTGCTGTGCAAGTAGCACACAGTGTTCCGACAATGGTCTAAAAAAACAATGTTTTTTCAAATTAAAGTCGTTTTTACTGTGGTGCGATTAAAGGATCTGAACGAAAAAGTAATGCTTGGACATATTCGACAGTAATAGTAAATTACCCATATTCGAAAACAATTTTCGTAGAAAAATGACTAAACAAAAACAATCAAAATTTTTTATTTTTTTTTTGCAGTTTTTTGAATTTTTGTTTTTAGAAAACTAACTTTAGCCGAGTGAAACTAAATTTTTACCGCTTATATTAAACAATTGTAAGCCTGCTATGCTCGCTCACTCGAAATTAGTCGAAAAAGCAAAAAATTCACACCGATTTTTTTCGACACCAGGAATATTTTTTTGAAATGTCGTTCGAATCACGATTTGGCGTGGAAAACAAAAGCACACCCGAACGCAAAGTTTTCAAATGGTCAGAACAGTTATCATGAGAATACGAACACGAAGTACTGATCCAGAAAGTACACATCCGCCTACAATTTAGAAATGACTCGTCTGTTTGCAATTGAATCTTCACTACGGTAAGGCAAATACATTTTTAGTAGCTCATCAGGAAGACAGCAGATAGCATTCTTTCAGCAATTTTCAAGAAAACTGAACTTAAACGTCTGAAACACAGTCGATAGATTACAGCGCTATTTTAACGCTTTTTTGTGTCTATATTCCAATATTTCTTTTAGAAGACAGAATTGCTTTTAAGTTCAATTTCGCTATGAAATTTTGCACCAAAATCATAACCGCGAGAAGAACTGTTTCCTAGGCAAGTAGCAACGAATAATCCCAGTATGGCACTTGAAAAAAATAAACAACTTTTTCCTTCACACAAACGCACCCAAAAACAAAGGACCACTAAGGAAGAATGCTGACCTGGACTCCGAGGGGGGCGTCGAAATAAGTGTTGTCTGTGTGAGTTCGGATTGCCAAGTTTGTGGCGAAGGTGTCTGCATGTTTGCCATCTGCAGCTACAGTCCACATGTCAGCCCCGTAGTAAGTCCTGCTGATGATTCCCATCTTCTCACATAACTTCTTCGTTGCACTCTGAACGTACAATCAGGAGCTCAAATAAAATAAAACAGAGCGAAATTTCACTCGGCAAGAAAAATAACTACAAAGCAAAAATAACTAGAGCAGCCAGTTGCTTTGCAAGTTGCATAAAACCTCCGTCCACAATTTTTTTTGAAAAAAAAAACAGAAAAATGATGTCTTGGGAAACTAAGCATTAAAACTAGTGAAAATTGAAGCTTTCATGTCCCTCAACATGAAAAAGTGTTTTTACCAACAAATGACACGCAATAAGAGGCAACAAATGATACTTTTGTGAGATCCACTCTTGTTCTAGATAGTATTCCTAGCAACACAAAAGGGACCAATCTTCATGTCGAATTTATGCTCGATACAAATTAAGGCAATCAAAAATCCGTCTCATTTCTTGACAACTTTCTCAACTCCTAATTTAACCCTGGAACGCGAACTATATGTAGTATCTTTCATGACTAAGGTTTTATCGATCTAAATTTGACAATGAAAAGATTTCGCTTACCTCATTTGCTTCGACATTCTTCACAAATACAACTCCATACCTCGCAAATAATCCATAGAACTGGTCCATACTTTTTTCACACTCAGATCCATTAAGTCCATTTACATCTATGGCTCGCGACCATATAAGTTTATTGAAACTGCTTGAGTCCCAAAAGACTTGCTTAAGCTTCGAACTCTCTTCCAATAACGAAAGATCGAAAAAAGTAGTTCGCTTATCACCCCAGAAAAGCTCCAATTTATTGTCATCATTTAGTCGCCAATCAATAAGATCTACATTTTGGTTAACATCAACAATGTTTTCCATTCGCTGTGACGAAATAGGGTCAAATGAGTGTACATTATTATCTAGTAAGTATTCAAATGAGAGATTTAGAACCCGAGATTTCAGCGAGACGCGTAAAAAGTCTTTTTGGTTATTTACTTCAATAGAGTATTTAACATGTGAGGATAAATTACGACAGTTTGGTTTAAAAAGTTGAGATCTTAGAAAACAGTGAGGCAGCGTATGGAACAAGGATTTGGCAGTTTTAGCCATGACTTACCTGAAAGTTATTTAGATCTCAAATTGCCTCGCTATCTTAACCGAAACTGAACCCTATCCCCTATCAAAGCATCAAAAAGAGGGCTGTGAATAGTTAACTGATTAGATAATAAATCAAACCGGATGAACTTTGTACCACTTTGGAACTTACGAGTATTTTAAATAGGTTAAACAACCTTCATATTTAGTTAATTTCATTGCGGTTTAAAATAACCAACTTTGCAGTAATTTAGGATATAAAAAAATTGCTAGCGTAAAAAACAGTTCTATTTGTCATAAATAAAAGACGAAACAACCTTTTTCGGATTTTTATATAATTATTCGCATCGTCGAATAACCAGTCAACTTTTATCCGGTTGCCCTATCCGGTGAAAATGTAAACCAAGGTGGGTACAAAAATGGGTGAATGACTTTACGACATCAATGAAGAGAATATTAACTTCATCCTATTTATTTTCTGAGCTCTACTGGAAACCAAGAAGATCCGAAAACGGCCAAGTTTATCGCACGTTAAGCCAAAAGTTGATAGAGATCCAATTACACAACAATTAAAAAGAATATCCGGTTACTGTGCAAATAGCACAGAATGTTCCCACCATATTGTCGTTTTTTTTCGGCGTGCTGTGATAAAAGGAGCTGAACAAAAAACTGGGGATTATGTATATTCAACAGTCATAGTAAAATAAGCAAATTGAAAAACAAATTTGATTCCAAAAAGGCACTAATGTACTCAGAGTAAACTAACATTACTCAAGTAAAACTAAGTTTTAACGTTTTAAATAAAGCTATTGCAAGCTTTTAAGCAATTAAAGTAAGACTGCTCGCTCGTTTTATATTCGCTCCAAGTAAGACGAAAAATTAAAAACTTTCAATTTTACTCAAGTAAAACTAAATTTTGACGTTTTAAATACAGCTATTGCAAGCTTTTGAGCAATTAAAATAAGACTGCTCGCTCGCTTTATTCGCTCGAAATATGACGAAAAATCAAAAATTTCAACCCAGTTTTTCAATGACTGTGAATACGTTTTTGAAATTTTTTCATGTGGCTCGAATCACGGCTGTAAGAGATTTCATATGATAAATCACTCCATCCAGTCCGATGATTATTTTTTGGTTATAGGTGGAAAACAAAAAGAAAAAAACTAAAACACACCCGAATACAAAGTTCCTCCCCAATTTCAATGGTCGGAACAATAAATTAACGAAAATTAAAAATTGACTTAAAGAAGCTGGGAACAAAAACAATCTAAAACAACTGTGAGAGCCAAAAAAAAAGTAGTCTGATTGTTGAATAATAACATAACTAGCCCGTAACTCGCCCAAATTGCATCAAACAGATTGTTGATCCTGGTGATTGCGTCCTTAAGTTTTTTAGAAATGACCAAAAATACCTGATTTGCTTTGATAACAGCTTCCAACCTTGCCTAAATATGTAGAAAAAATGTAGTTCAACACAACTAATTATGAACAGAGGCGAAGTTGCACTTCGCATACACAAGCAAAAATATGGCCGATAACGCTACTGGGAAAAACTCAATGAAAAAACTTTGAGTCTACAAAATTTCTACAAACTTTGAGTCTACAAAGTGACGCACGCCAATTACGAGTCTACATAATTGCTAAGTGACGCAAGCCAATTATGACATATTTGCAGTACCAGTCAATTTGAAAGAAAAAGAAACTTACCAACTTACATGCCTCATTTTATAGAGCGGACGCATTTTGACTAGTATACGAAAAAGTTCATTAAAATCTCCCCCCTAAGTGACCAACCGCACAATTCCCCCAAAGCCGCGTATTAAACTTGAAAAGAAATTAAGTATGACGTATGCATTTCGAACAAACGCGCACCTAAAATTAGTTGTCACAATTTTTATGTGGGATTATATTTGTCCTATTTTTTTAAATCAATTTTCTCTAAATAAACTTAATTTTCTGTAAATGTAACGTATACTAAAACATAGTTCCTGAAAAAAACTATAATTTCTCCCGCCCCCCTAAATGGATTGAATATGGATTGGGCGTGAATGTAGCCTAGTGATTCGAGCGATTTCGTTAAACAAGTTGTTAACCCGAAAAAAGTCTGTTTTCCGATTTGATAACGCTTGCTAATATCAAACGTAAAAAAAATATTGAAATGTTCCTAAATTGCTTAAAAAAAGTCCATGCGGTAGCAACAGCTGACAAAAATCAGCAGGCCGAGAAAATATTTTAACTGGAAAATTTCAGCTTGAAAAACTAGACCAGTTCCTGGCCGGATTCGCTCCTAGGACTTTTGCATTCTCTGGGCGTGACTTTGCATCTACGCCAAGTGCGGAGAAGTGAAACTTGGATTCAGTGATTCTGTTAGACAATTTGTTAGCCTAAAAAAAAACAATTTTTTGCCGAGGCACATCTTTTAGCCCAAGTAGCCATTGCCACCTTGAGGAAACCGATGATAATAGAAAACCACATCACTTTTGTTAAAAGCTTCGTGCACAAACTTTCAACTTTCAAAGTAAAAAATGTCACTATATAAGCCGATGAATACTAAGCCGATTGTCAATAAGCTGGAAAAAATCCATCATCTTTGCACACATGCTGAATATAGATCTGAATACATAAGCAAAAACTCTGTAGAAACAGCTCATGATCAAGAGCAATCCACAAGACAATTGAATCGAAATCTATGGGGCCACATAAAATAACAAAACTAACTGGTTACTGTGCAAGTAGCACAGTATGTTCCGACCATTGCTGGTAACGAAGAGCTGTCTTCAAAAAAGAAAAGACTGAAATACTTATACGAAAGGGACCCCTACCCAACTACAAATATTTTGTGCTGCTCGAGTGCGGCAACCTACTTATATTTGGAAATGTGATTTTAAAAAACCAAAAAGACTCCTTTTTAGATGTTTTGAACGTTCAAAAGCTGTCAAAAATCAAAACGAAAAAATAATTCACGACTAATAACTTATTTGTCACAGTTTATCTAGTAATCGATTGAGTCCTTCAGTGAGATATATCATTCTAACCCCTGTGACGTTTAATTGAGGCACCTGATTTTGCTGTGAAAAAAATAGTCAATTAAAACGTACCAGAACACAAAGTGTGTTTCATTTTTGCTGCAGGAACAAAAAATATCGTAAATTAATACAACAAATAATCTACTTTACAGGCAGACTGAAACTTACCATACACACAGTCAAACAAAAAAATGTTAATTATAAAAACTCTTTATATCATTCGGTTTTAAGTTGGCCAGAAAATGTAGTTGTTTCTCGCCACATATAATTTCCGGATCTTTTCAAATCATTTGACTACACGTGACTCATTTTGGCACCTTGATTTGCAGGAACAGTTGTTCTCTGCCTTCGATGTCAGGAAAAATGCGCTTGCTCTTAAAAAATAGACTGTTTTGTTACCAAACGATATCTCATATGCCGCGAAAAACTTTTAGATCAATTTTCAATTTTGTTATTTTCAGAAAACAAACACTTCGGAGCATAGTCTTTGTAGTGATTGCACATAGCACTTTCCAGCATTTCAAACTGAGATGCAAAACTGATCATCTCATCTGATGCTTTTAGTCTGTTTTTCACCTTTTGCAGACTTCCCTTCAAGTACTTATTAATCTCAGGGTGAGTCACAAAGTCCTTGTTGTTTCCATGAAGCACCAACATCTTTCCATATGTGGAAGTCAAAAGCTGCAGCATTGGAGGGTTGCATAAAGACTCGTGAATGTATCGCATCAACTTGACCGTATCTCGTAGGTCAAGTCCTTTCAAGACAGTGTCCAAAACACATCTACGTTCAAACTCAAACAAAATCGAAAATAGAGTTTCGTTGTTTTGGCTGCATTCTGTTTCCAGTGCTTTTTTCAGAGCTCCAGTATGATCAAAACTTTTAAGTAACTTCTCAGTTTTTGTCAAATGAGGTCTTTTCTCATGCTGAATGTGAGGCACTGCAAGTCTCACATCTTCAGATTCTGATGCTAAAGAATCCATTATTTTTCTTTTTCTCTGGCTATGACTGACTTTTTCATGAGAATCTTTGGACTTTTGTTCCACTTTAAATTTGACCGAAATGCTTTCATCCGACATTCCAACAGCCAAAAACTTATCATCATTTGAGAGGTCGAAAGCCAAGATCGGAGCCGGATATGTTAAAGTATGCACACATTGGAACGATTCTGTATCGTAGATTTTGATCAGCCTGTCAATGCCTGCACTTAAAAGTCTGGTTTCGTCTGAATTCAGTGCCAGATCCATCACATGTTTATGATGCTCAGCTAAAACTTTGAGAGGTTCTGAACTCTTTCTCATGTCCCAGATGCTCACAACTCTTCCCCCGCCGGACGCAAAAAGGGTTCCATTGGCGAATGTTTTCACGGTATCTACAGCGTCTTTGTGGTCTATAGTAGCGACCACCGGATTATCAGCTCGTGTATCAAATATACGAACACTTTTCTCATAAGAGCCGCAAATAAAAGAAGTATAGTCTATCGAGTTTCGTTTCACATCTAAGCACGTCGCTTTATCTTTAAATCCCTCATATGTAAAAGTAACAGCACCTGTTGCAATGTCAAAAACTTTCGCTTTCAAATCTGTCGAACACGAAATTAACGAAATTTTATTTTGTGTGAACTTCATATCGTTTACAACCAGGTCGTGTGCTTTGATTTTTCGTAATGGTTTCTTTTGATTGGCTCCGAAAACACGAATGAAACCTTTGTCGTCGCCTCCCGAAAACATGGCGTCATCTTTGCGAATATCACAGCAAATCACTTTTTCTTGGAACCCGAACGCTGTTGTTTGTCCATTTCGAGACTCGAAATACTCGAGTTTGTTTGAATTTGCGCAGAGAAACGAATGTGAGGTCAGATTTTTAAACTTAATTGACTGTACTCTGGAGAGGAGCTTCAAATTGAGTGGATGGCGATATTGGTTCCAGAAGCGACACTCATCGGAAATTTCATCCACAGGAGTGGCTATGAAATCAGTGTTCACTCGCTTGAACATAACAAAACAAATTTCTGAAGAAAAAAACATAGTGAAACAGAAATTTTCGCTTGAAATTTTGTCACAAAACATTGCGAAGTATTTCAGAACAAAAGTTTCATCGAAGAAGAAATATCGGCTAATGATTATTAACCTAGCAAGCCCTTCTCCAATAATCAATCGGATCTCAAAAAAAATAGTTGTTAATGTGATCAAGCAATGAAACTTCGATCAATTTCTAGTTAAGTCATATCGTAAAGTTATTTCATGAAGGGAATCGGATAGCGGATAGTGAGTTTTTATTTTGGAGTCATTCAAGTTTTGAAATATTCCAGTGATGAAAAGAATCGAATAGCGAAATTTTTTTCTATTGGAGCAATTCATTTGAAAAATTTCATAGATCGAACAGTTTTGCAAAAAAAAATATGCTAGTTATTAAGCAAAAAAACTTTGTCAGGTTTCACCTTATTTCATTGAGCGACAAGCTTATTTGCATTGAGTCAGCGCAAAATCAAGTTATTCTTAAGCAAGCTATGAAGCTGCGAAACTTTTTGAATTATTTCTGTCTAAACCGGTTCGCGAAAAATTTAAGTTTCTCTATCCAAGCTATTCCAGCTATGGAACTTTGAAACTAAGCGAATCGGATAGCGAAAATTTGGGGAACACTATCAGTCATCTTAAACTGTGTCAACTGAACCGCCAACTAATTAAGATATATTAGATAGATAGAAGATAAAAATAGAAAACCGACCCTAATGCATAGTTTCTCGAGGTTTGAATCGAGACCGGTCGGAACACCAAGAACTGAAGTAGGGAACAGCAGATATGTGCATTTCAAGTCCGAGTTTAATTAACTATACCAAATTTGAGTTTGGTACAGAAATTAATAAGACCAATAAGCTTGCCTCAATTCAATTTGGAATGATTATCTGAGCGCTACGAAACTTTGATTAATTAGTCGCGCTCCATAAACAACCTGCTGAAAATCCAAACTATTTTTCTCTTCTTCATTTTTTGGCCAAATACTACCAAATTTGAGAAAAAAGTTAAAAAATTCCGTTTGTTTTATTTTATCGGGTTGTAGTAAATCAACACTTTAATGGCTTGGTGAGCACAAATTGCAGTGACAATTTGATCAACCGCGAAAGCATGCGTGATCCAACTAATGAACAAAAAATATCCAACTAATGAATAACTTCAATTACCCAAATATTTGTAAATGAGAGAGGTTTAAAGAAGTCTTGAAAACACGCTGTACAATCTTGGCCTAGTTGATCACTGAGCTGAAAAATAATATCTATGTCATCAAAATCTATGAATTGCGCAATGCACAAACACAAGCCTCGCGCCACCAGCAATATTAATTGGCTACTCTGCGCTGAATTGTAGCGCAGAAGTCGGGAAACTTGCCATATTTTGACAAAAAAACCTCCGAGAGTATCTATCATAAAATTAGAGATCCATTGTCACCTGAAATACGGCTTAAATTCATATACAGAAGCGAAGCGGAGCTTCGCACCACTTGCGATTCCATACAAAAACAAAACAAAAAATAAACAAAATAAACAATACAATACAAAAACAAAACAAAAAAATCAAAAATGTTGAAAAAAAACAAGAACTTCAATTTTCGTTTGTCGAAACTGATGTGTGATGAAAAAGGACATTCAAAAGATGGACTTTGCCAAAACCTTCGTTGTTTCTCTACTAAAATAAAAGAGAAAGGTGAAAACTTATTATAAATTGAAATCTTCCCAAAGACCTAACATTTTTCTTACAAAATATTAGGGAGACACCGCTTCTATAAAAATAACTCTCGAAAAAGTTTCATTGGGCAAATTATAACACATTGGGTCTAGTTGCAGGGGTGTTTCCCACATCAGATTAATTCGATTGAACCGAAAACCTTATCTTACATTTGAATTTATTATAAATCTAACATTTTTCTTACAAAATATTAGGGAGACACCGCTTCTATAAAAATAACTCTCGAAAAAGTTTCATTGGGCAAATTATAACACATTGGGTCTAGTTGCAGGGGTGTTTCCCACATCAGATTAATTCGATTGAACCGAAAACCTAACCTTACATTTGAATTTATTATAAATCAAGCATTTTAGAAAAACTAGCGCATAACTCGCACCTATCAGTGCAACGCCGAATGTGTAATGCCACATCTCGGAAACCGAAAGAATTTGAGCAGTCACATTTGTAGGGAAGAGATGAAACCTCTGAATGTACTCTGATAGCACACCACTATAGGGTTGAGAAATTCAAGTTCGATTAGTTTTTTCTATATCTAAGTTTTTTTGAAAATAAAATCATAAAAAACGCCATATTTCGAGCACCATAAGGATTTGAGCAGTCCCACTTGGTCGCTAGATTTGCAACCCCTGATTGTACCCTGATAGCACTTCAGTATAGGGTGAAGAAATTCAAGTTCGATTAGTTTTTTTTATATCTAAGTTTTTTGAAAAAAAAAAAATCAGAAAAAAACCATAAGGATTTGAGCAGTCACACTTGTACGCTAGATTTGCAACCCTTGAGTGTACCCTGATACTTACCCATTATAGGGTTGAGCAGTTCACACTCGGTTAGGTTTTTTATACCAAAGTTTTTTGAAAAAAATGAAAAATTAAAAAAAAAAAACGCCATATCTCGAAAACCTTAAAGATTTGAGCAGTCACACTTCGACGCTAGATTTGCAACCCTTGAGTGTACCCTGACAGGACCCCAATATAGGGTTGAGAAATTCAAGTCCGATTAGTTTTTTTTTATATCTAAGTTTTTTGAAAACAAAATGAAAAATCATATAAAAACGCCTTATCTCGAAAACCATTAAGATTTGAGCAGTCATACTTGGACACGATATAGCTTCAACGTGAAAAAACACGTTCGTTAAACATGCAAAAACAAAACGTTGAAAAAGTTAAAACAAGCAAAGATAGAGTTGTCTCAAACATGTCAAAATAGGGACTTCTTAAACATGTGCCACATGAAACGCCTATTAAAAGATAGATAGATAGATAGATTATTTACAAATTTAATACATCCGGCAAGGAAGCCGACAAAAGTTAGGACGAAATTTATGAAGCCGACAAAAAACTCAGTTTAATTCAGTTTCCAATACAAACATTGATCCCAGAAGTTAAATTTGAAGTTTCATGAAATTGATTGAGCATGCCAGCAGCATAGCAGCAATTGATTCAACTCAATGCAAATTTCTACTCCACTGGGGCAATTCTTTAGACGCTACCTTCATCAATTTGCACAAAACCTTCGCCGATATGAAGATGAGCATTACTAAACTACTAAACTCGAACGTAACTAAATTACAATTCTAATTCAATTCTAAATCGATGCATTTAAATGATAACTAGCGCGTCAATCGCACCTCCGGTGCTACAAAATCAAGTCTTCAGAAAACAGACAAACCAAAATTCTAGAGAAATAAAAGGATTTGAGCAGTCATACTTGGACTCCAGATTTGCAACCCCTGATTGTACCCTGACAGCACCCCACGATAAAGTTGAGAAATTGAAGTTCGGTTAATTCTTTTTATATCTAAGATTTTTGAAAAAAAAAAAAAAAATCATAAAGACACCATTTCTCGAGAACTAAAAGGATTTGAGCAGTTAAGCTTAGACTCAAGATTTGCAACCCCTGAATGCACCCTGACAGCAACCCACGATAAAGTTATTTTTTTATATCTGTTTTTTGATCAAAAAAACAAAAAAAAATCATAGAAAACGCAATTTCTCGAAAACCAAAAAGATTTGAGCGGTCATAGTTAAGCTCCAGTTTTGCAACTTCTGAATGTACCCTGACAGCACCCCACTACAGGGTGGGGAAATTCAAGTTCGGTTAGTTTTTTAATATCTAAATTTTTCGGAAAAAAAAACTAAAAAATCACAAAAAACGCAATTTCTCGAAAACCAAACGAAAATGAGCAGTCACATTTGAACGCCAAATTTGCAACTTCTGATTATACTTTGACAGCATCCCACTATAGGGTTGAGAAATTGAAGTTCGTTTAATTTTTTTATATCTACGATTTTCGAAAAAATAATAATAAAAAAAATCATAAAAACACCATTTCTCGAGAACCAAAAGGATTTGAGCAGTTATACTTAGACTCCAGATTTGCAACCCCTGAATAAACCCTGACAGCACCCCACAATAAAATTGAGAAATTGAAGTTCGGTTAATTTTTTTTATATCAAGGTTTTTGAAAAAAATAATAAAAAAAATCTTAAAGACACCATTTTTCGAGAACCAAAAGGATTTGAGCAGTTATACTTAGACTCCAGATTTGCAACACCTTAATTTACCCTGACAGCACGCCATGATAGGGTTCAGAAATTGATGTTCGTTTAATTTTTTTTATATCTAAGATTTTTGAAAAAAAATGAAAAAATTACAAAAAACGCAACCTCTCGAAAACCAAAAAAATTTGAGCAGTCACTCTTGAACGCCAGATTTACAACTCCTGAATACACCTTGACAGCACCCCACTATAGGGTTGAGAAACTCAACCTCGGTTAGTTTTTTGTATCTAATTTTTTTATATCTAAATTTTTTTGAAAAAAAAACAAGAAAAAGTCATAGAAAACGTCATATCTCGAAAACCAAAAGGATTCGAGCAGTCATAGTTGGAATCCAGATTTGCAACTTTTGAATGTACCCTGACAGTAAATTCAAGTTCGGTTAGTTTTTTAATATCTAAACTTTTTGGAAAAAAAACTAAAAAATCACAAAAAACGCAAAACGAAAACCAAAAGAGTTTGAGCAGTCACCATTGAACGCCAAATTTGCAACTTCTGATTATACCCTGACAGCATCCCACTATAAATTGAGAAATTGAAGTTATAGTTTTTTGTATCTAAGTTTTTTTATATATAAATTTTTTTAAAAAAACATGAAAAAATTATAAAAAACGCCATATCTCGAAAACCAAAAGGATTTGAGCAATCATACTCGGACTTCAGATTTGCAACCTCTAATTGTACCTCGACAGCACTCCACTACAGT